ATGTAGTTGATCCACAACTTTCCTTTCTGAAGTACACAGAACCACCATAATTACATCTATCAAAACCATGAGTTGTCATGAATGAATCAAANCTTCTTGCTGTACCCAAATCCTTCATGTCAAACTCCTCGCTGAGTTGTAATTTTATTTTTCTGACATCTGCTTTATCTTTAGCTACTATGAGCATATCATCAACATATAATAACAAATATGTAGTTGATCCACAACTTTCCTTTCTGAAGTACACAGAACCACCATAATTACATCTATCAAAACCATGAGTTGTCATGAATGAATCAAACCTCTTATACCACTACCTCGGTGACTTCTTTAATCCATACAATGATTTCTTCAACAAGTACACATAGTCTTCCTTCTCTAAAGCTATGAACCCCTCTGGTTGTTGCATGTAGATGCTCTTCTAAAATTTTTCAAGTAAGAATGCTGTCTTGACATACATTTGCTCACACTCCAAATCATTCTTGACCACCACTCCAAGTAAAGTCCGAATAGAACTATTCTTCACAACTAGTGAGAACTGTAAAATCAACACCCGAAATCTGACTGTAGCCTTTTGCAACCAATCTAGCCTTGTATCTAACATCTTCAATCCCTGATGTGCCTTCCTTTCTTTTGAACACCCATTTACAACGAACCATTCTTTTTCCTTTAGGTACTTTCACTAAGTTCCAAGTGTTATTTTTGCTCAATGACTTCATCTTCTCTTGTATAGCAATCATCCATTTGATAAAATCACTACAACTGACTGCATCTGAATATGTAGTAGGCTCCTAAGTGGAATCAATGTTTTCAGCCACACTCAATGCATAAGCTGCCAAATCTGCTTCCCCATACTTCTGTGCAGGTCTAATCTGTCGCCAGGTCTATCCTTAGTAATAGAATACCGTGATGCTAGTGATGTAGGCGATGTAGGCAGGATATTACCGTCTGTCAATCTTGAATTGGACTCATCTGCAGTAGACTATTCTACAACCTCTGATTGTTTCTCTAAACCAATTTCCAACTCCACCTAAATTGAATGATTATGTTCCTCAACTTGATCAGAATCCTCAAAAGGTGAGCCACGAACCATACCAAATTCATCAAATACTACATTCCTACTAACAACCACCTATTTAGTCTCCGGACACCACAACTTATACATTTTCACACCTGATTTATATTCAAGAAAAATGCACTTTCTAAACCTAGGCTCCAACTTC